GCACGAACCATTTTCGAATTCGTATCATACCCTGACTTTCAGTACACATTTGACAATAACACTTCGTACTCGCAAACGACACGGGGGTACAGAACTACCCTGTACTACGTTTTTCGACGGGCTCAACGCTTATTTTTAACAATGTAGCGTAATGAGCGCCGGGGTGAGGCAGGCAGGCGGAGGACGGCACTTCATAACGCATTAGCGCTGCTTGATTAATATTAATAGCGCGAAATGTCTCTAAACAACGAGCGCGCAAACACGAGCACGGAGGCACGTAAGGAGCACCTATTAATTGGACTCGCACTTCCTTAAGATATAACGAGTTGAGTTCTGGTTTGAAGGTTTCATTCTATTTCTTATGTGAAAATGGTAGTAAACTTAATAGCCTGTGGTCCACTTGATGGTCAATGGATTTCTATTGGAATAAAATTAATAAGTTCTATCCCTAAATATAATTTTAAAGTATTGTGTTTCCAGGTGTTTTCTAGCAAAATATTTCAACTTGCCACAAGCATAATCAAAGGTCACAAGTTAAACATGTTACAAAGCTTTTTTTTTAATGCTTGCATTTTTTTCAAAAGTCTAAAATGCTGACGTGATTTCTTCATGTTTGAATTAGGCAACTTATTTCTAACATCGAATGTGATCATTAACTGGTATCATACCTACTGACCCAAATGTTTAGATACACACGAGTGCATTCAGTAGGTATGTTACATTTGGGTACGTTACACGTGTTACATTTGGGTAAGCCGTATTCCCAGAAACCAGTTTCACTAAACATCTGTCTGTGATTTTTCATCTGTCAATTACTTTTCTTCTATTTTCTTATGTGTTCTCTTCCTTTTGCAATGGGTTTTAACACAAAACACAGAAAGAGGTTTCAAAATGAAACTTTTATACTGTTCTGAATTTTTCCTTTTCAAAAATTCTCCATTACGACCTGAACACCTTGAGAACAAACAGCGTTCGCCTTTCTAAAATGCCCCTAACGCATTTTTAACACTCTAAATAAATAAATATTTCCAACACTCACACCAATTAGCCTAGCTCCAAAGTAAGCACTGTCTGGCTTGTAATATGGGATATTAGGGTAACGGATAGAATCCATATACAGATACATATATAAGTATATTTATATAGAAATAAATATAAAACATCCATGATTGGATTATAAATGCTCGAATTCATCACACAAACATTTGCCCCCACCGGGATTCGAAACCGGAACCTCTCGAGTAGGCAACATCTTGAAAGCCGGCGTACAAACCACTCGGACACGGAGGTTGTCACTATTGGTATGCAGGATGTTCATGGCCGAATGGTGATCACTTACCATGAGGGGAGCCAACTGCTTGTCTGTTCCCCATGTCGTAAAAAATATTTATAAATACATAAGAGCTCCTTACCTACTTAGGGATCAAAGTTGCAAATTAGGTCCTTAAGAATAAGTAGGTACCTAATCATAAAAAATTGGGTACGTCAGTCTTCACTACGTAAAAGGTCGCCAGAAAGCTAAGCCTTAGTCTGTATTAAGATAGCAATCTTCAGATAAGGGGATAAAACTTGAAGACAAAGAAGAAGCCCGATTAAGTTATTAAATTAATTTAAGCATACGCATAAAAAAGGTCTTACGTTGTATTCTTTGTGGGGGTAAAAAGTGATTATCATCAAAGTGTCTTAATCCTCTCTGAACTTTTTACGAAATCGATGCTTTATACTTTTAACCTAATAGTACTAGCAATAATATTCATTTTTAGGGTTTTTACAAAATTTTTCGTGACGTCGGTTTTGGTACTATAAAATTACTTTTTCAACTTTTCTTTCTTTTACGTCTGATTGTTTTCGAAAATACCTTTCACATAGCTACTATCGTTTGTGAAAATGCAAAACAAAGATCAAATTAATTTTAACTTGACTCCCGGGACAGGAATTATAACATAAGAGGTTGGTCAAGGTAAATATATTTAGGAAAATAGACTATCTTCTAATATTTTTTACACCTGTAACAACCGAATAACATACAAATCAGCCGAACACATAGATAAGGCTCATGTGTTATTGTACAAATACCTCAACATCGCACACTGGTCTGGATTTTAAAAAAAAGTGGACATTGGAAATATTAGGATTTAAAAAAATACTATTAGATAGTACTATTGAATATATAACATATATTGTTCTGTTTCATTAGTACGATCTAATAGTATTTTTAAAATCCTTATATTTCCAATGTCCACTTTTTTTAAAATCCAGACCAGTGTGCGTCGATATGGTAGCAAAAACGTGCGGTCTCATCGCGGCACCGTATCTCACGTACAAATCTGAAAACCGACACTTGGCTGTAAATTACTCAAAGGTATATTAATCTCGGGATAGGTAGGACGCCAGCGAGATCCACGGGAGAGATTTTCAAAAAGGGTTTCCCACCTTCCGCGATGACAGTTAGATAAACAATACGATGTTAGAGTATCGTATTAAATACACCAAAGACTATGATATAATGACGTATATTTTGCATATGTATTAATTAATTTAAAACTTGGTTTAATAAAACTTAAAAAAGGAATAAATAAACAAAACCTTTTTTTTAGATTTAAACATATGCTTAAATAGCAGTTAAATAAATATGTATATAAAACTAAAATTGATATTTCTTCTTTTATTTATTTTATACTTGTAAAGATATTTCGTTTGACATTGTAACCTAAAATGCGAAGAGATAGCGCTGCCTTGCAGCCTAAGAAATACTAGAAGAAATTTGACGCGGTCATTAAAGTCGCGGTAGCATAATTGGAAGTGCATCCGTCCGGATAATGAAGGATGTAGGTTCGAATCTCGTCTGCTGTCTGGATCACGTGGTTTTTTTTCTAGTAAAAATTTCTTTAGATTTAAACAGAACAAAGCAGTTAAATACTTAAATAAATACATATAATAAACAAAAACCAAATATGTTATGAAATATAAATAATGTTGGAGCGTTAGGATCCAACCGAAATCTTTTCTTGTTGCAATCTCTCAGAGTGACCATTACATTAGACTAATGAAGCTCTCACGAATACGTACCAAATATCGTTTTAAATGTGTGTCATAAAAATGTTACCCTACAAATACCCAGACTCGAACCAACCGATAAAGAAAAAATAGTTGATCATTGAGCCAACTAAGGATAAAAGTCGAGACTTCAGAGATTGCGTCAACATTAAAACACGCTTAAACAACATTAAAACGTTCGTCACTTCTTATTTGGTCTGGCAAGAAAACGTAAATATAATGATAATAAATATGTTTTATCTAAATGAACTGAAACGAAGTTTCGAAACAAAGCAAACTTGTTGAAACACTCATCGTTGCTTTTTCTCTTTTATATTTAACTCCAACAATTTCAAGCAAACCATCGCGCAACATTTTTGAGCGAACAATGAATTTCCACAAAATGCAAATGTTTACTCATTTTCGGAATTCTCTTACAGTATTTTTAAAGTGAAAACTTCTTTAGCAGCGTTATACACTTTTTTGTAATGGGTAAAAATTGTTAAACTCGCGTCAGGACACGTGGCCGTCATAACGTCAGTCCTGACGTCCTGATTGGGTCACGTGTCCAGGTGACCTAATCGAAAATTCCTAAGACGAAAACAATAAAATTGAAAAGGTTGTTGACTTTCAATATATTGGACGAAATATAGTAATATTTTATCTAATATATAAAATTCTCGTGGTGCGGTGTTTGTGGTTAAACTCCTCCGAAACGGCTCGACCGATTTTCGTGAAATTTTATATGCATATTCAGTAGGTCTGAGAATCGGATGTAATCTATTTATCATCCCCCTAAATGTTAAGGGTACCCCCCCCCCCCCATTTTTTTTTAATTATAGATATTTTTTTTTTAATTTTTTTATGATACATCATTCAAAAATACATACAGCCCTAAACCACCAACCCCTACATTTTCGGCCATTTTTTTTTGGTTTCATTTGTGTATCGATCGTAGCAGTGACTTATACGAATTATTTTAATTTTTCTGTGCATCTATTACGTTAATTTTACTCTCATCGTGAATTTATTATTAATTTCCAGTGCAATAATTATTTTTTCACATTTTATTAATAACTGATATAGACAGTTTTAACTATTAGCCGAAACGGCTCGACCGATTTTCGTGAAATTTTATATGCATATTCAGTAGGTCTGAGAATCGTCCAACATCTATTTTTCATCCTCCTAAATGTTAAGGGTGGTCCCTACTTAAAGAATTTTTTTTGGACCATCATCATACAAAAATACATACAACCCTAAATTTTCACCCTTCTACCAACCCCGTGACCAACCCCTATTTTTTATGGCGGTACGAAGTTCGCTGGGACAGCTATATAGTAGGTATTTCTATAGATATTCAATATACGGATGGTGACATTGTAATGCTCCATACCTATATAAATAATTATAAAAAAGTGGCTTCAGACTTTCTCATTTCAGAACCAATACAATATTAAAAAAAGAACAAGCGCAAGTCGAAAATTTAAAAAAATCGAAATTTGAATGCCTTAGAATTAGTGTCCGACCGAAGGTTCGGTTTCGGTTTCGGTTTCGGCCGAGTTTCGGCCAAAAATCAAGTTTCGGCGGCAGTTTTGGTTTCGGCCAAAATTGGCCGAAACTTTTGCCGAAACCGAAACTGATTACGGAAGTTGTCGTGCAGGCTCGCTTAACTTCGTTTCTCGCGGCAACGCATTGGCGGACGCTGGCGGCCCTGATCGGGAATTCTCGTGCGCCGTTCGGATAGCTCCGTAGCACACACAACTTAGTGCGTTATCGCCCGATGCAAACATTCTTTAGAGGTTATGTTATGATGGAACTTCTAAGAGATTTATGATTCTTCTAAGTACAAATACAAACCAAAGTATTAATAAGATTTCAATACCAATACCAATACTTAGTATTTAATGAAACAGTAAAAATTAGTGATTTGATTATTGATAAAGCTGATAAAAAGGAGATTGTTCAAATTGGCCCAAATGCACAAAAAATATTGACATACACGATAATTCTTGGCGTAATTTGTAATTTAATTTACAGTCATTAGATTTCAACGGACACCTTTGTATAATATATTCACTTTAAAAAGGACTTTTCATTTTACCGGTTTGGAAAACATATGAATCATTTTTAATGGCTATGGGTGTAGTAACATTCAGCCAAAGACTGATCGAAGTTGTTTATATAACATAAAGACAAATCTATTTTGTAAAGATCGATAAAATAAATATTTTTTTTACTACACTGTGGTATTAATATCCACAACTATATTATCATTTTCACTACATGCAAATGTGCTCAGACAATTATTATAGATGGTAGGCGACATCATAAAGTCTATTGCCATACATTTTTCGCCAAACACCTCCATAAACACATTATAATCTGTTTAGACTTTAAGGTATCTATTTATGAGCCTACGTTGCCTGACTATAAATAAATAAAATTATAAGGTGTGATACACTAAAAATCACACACACAATCACAAAAAAATGAAGCTACTGAATATATGGCTATATAACCTAAACCTCTTAGCTTTCTTTGGTTAACGAGAGTTGAAAAATTCTCTCTAATCTGTGGCTCATTCACAATCATCACAGTTTCTGTCACAGAGTACCTTATAACCGGAAATGCATATTGACACCTGATTTTAAAAGTTACTCTTATGCATTAACTTTAAAAACATGCAACTATCTGTTAATCTACATGCTCTATATACCTGAATCTAATCCATAATTTCGGTACTTGGCTTGATTTCCCTAGTTTACTATATAACTTATTTGTTTTTTATTATTTTAATATGCTCAGTGTATATGGTTTATAGAAGTTCTCAGGGGTGTCCGTCAATAATATTAGTTTTTACAGTAATTTATATATAATTTCGAATCTAGGAAACAATTTTTCATGATTATTGGTCTTTAGGCCAAACATGTATGGAAGCTGAGCAATCTCCTTTTGCTATGAGAACTTGATTTGTATTTTTTTTTTAATATTTTTAATATTTTTTTATATTATATTAAATAACTGATAAGAACAAAATTAAAATACTGTGTTTCCATTTCATGCCCTAATTAATGCAGAATAATCGGTAAAATGGACCAAATTTCAGTATTTTAAGGAATTTTAAACTTGACCACGTGAGTTTCGGTTTCGGTTTCGGTTTCGGCCGAAACTGAAGCCACTGCCGAATGTTCGGTTTCGGTTTCGGTTTCGGCCGGAAAACCAGTTTCGGTCGGACACTACTTAGAATGAAAACCGAAGTTCCCTAAGCGACGCGTGTGGAACTGAATTTTCTTTCATTGAATTTACGTCCTTCAAATCTGTTTGTGTAGCTTTTGTAAAATTGTTTTTTCGTATATATAGTGAAGAGCTCTTCCACTGTTTCCTTTTGTTTATTTGTTGTTAATTTTTCTTTGTATTTTTTAGATATAAATGCTGATTCATTATATTTACATAGTATTTAATACACCCGTGTGAAGCCGGGACGGGCCCTAGGTTTTTATTATAATAATAAGTCTCTAATTAGGACGCGTAGGTGGCAGCTTTATTGCGAAGAAAATGCGCTTAAATGTGATTCATGTAAGTTGATTTTTTTGAGAGATAAACTTTTTAATGTAATATAAATTGTCATGTTTGTGTACGATAGCGCAATAAATAAATATTGTATTCTACCACATAAATGATAGTACTTTTATACTGATAATTAAAGCAATTCGTGCTAAATTATTCCCTAACCATTCCAAAATATCAAAAATGCACAACGTTAATATTCAAGTTTTCACTTTTGCCGGCACTCCCGGAGTAAAACCCGTCGTTTTTTTTACACGTATCAAACGTGAAAGTGTAATGGCGCATTGCATCAAATATTAAAGAGCATTCTTAAAAAAAATGGATCAAGTTCATGAATGGAATCGTTTTTTAAAAATGTTTATAAACCACAATGCAATGAAATTTTTGCAGATAGGAAAACAATCTAATGCGTATACATAGCACTAGTTTTATTACGGAGCTGTCAAAATTCATGCTTGGACCTGTATGAAGGATGCAAAGACTAATGTGAGCCTTTTCAAGCAAAAGCTTTTCCCAACCTGTAGTTTTTACAACACAGCTGAAGTACTTTCAGTAAGACAACTTTACATTCTCTTAACAATACTTATACAGCGACACGCACTTCAATCACACTCTTCTGTGAAATCTATATCTTGAACACAATAACAATGTTTGCCGATATAAAAAATTTGCCACTGCTTTTGCGCACAGATTCTTTTTTGACTGCAACTAGCCTGGAAACAGAAAAATCTGTGTTTACAGTTACAATCATGCCAATAAATTGTTAAATAAATTGCATGGCAATTGTTTTTTACCATTGACACAAAACAAGCAAACCACAAGCATTTATATAGGTTTCTGTCAATTATAAAAAATAAACAACTGAACATTCATAATATTCATTATTTTGGTTCAATCGGAAAATTATTTACATTTCTCAAATTAATTTGTTGCCATGCACGTAAAATACGTTAGAATGCTTTGTTGATCGAAGTTTAAATGTGAATTCATTCAAAAGTTATTGTGACCGGAGCGCTGTCGCAGTATTTTTGTAAACACATTTCAAATAACTAAGAACGTATTCCACGGCTAAGTTTAATAGTCTTAGAGCCGGTGGGAGTTAATTATAATAATTATATGTTTATCAATTATATTTGATAAAAAATATGTCTCATCGAGTTATCAGATCGGTGAAGGTCGATCTTATACAGTCTCCCCTACCATAAGTTTCGTGTATATTAAATGCCGGTACAAGACATAGGGATTTTCGATTCCTGATTTTTTTTCTGTGATATCTTATTAAATGTACATAACTGAATAGTTGTATTAATTAGCCACTAAAGTTTACATATTTTGTGTCTGACGAATGAAATTTCTTTTTGATTGGATTAATTTTGTTCGGTATATAAATTGTAGGTACTTGAGAATTAAAACATTGTCCCTAAATTCTATAGCTTCTTAGCATTCTCACATAAAAAATCTCATATAAGTCTTTGATCGTTTACAGGGCCCTTTAGCTTTCCGTTACTCAGTTTGTCTTAGTTCTTGAGGACAAAAGTAATTTCACATTCATATTGATGAAAATATAGAAATTACCTACAGCAAAAAAAACCGTTAAATCGGATTTCAATGCAGCGGCAATTAGAGAATAATGATATCAAAGCTCATTTATTCAAGGTGTCACAAACCTTGCGGAACTTTGCGGATGAGCTCAAACGTTGTTTCAAAACGTGAACAAAAGTGGATAGGATTATCCGACTCTGTCGACGTGCCTATTTTACCCGACTGCGCAATGCAAGAGCGCGAAGCGCGACGCACATACAAGGTATAGTGTTTAACAGTGTACATTTTAAGACTTGGTTTTGTTTATTTATTTTGCAGTTTCCCGTTTTTTTTTAATTTTATTATTAACTAAAAAATTTACAAGCAAAATTTTTATGAAATACAATAAAAAGACTTCGCCTTTTTAGGGTTCCGTGAAAAAAATAGAGTCATTAATTTAATATAATGTATTGGCATCTATTAGTAAAATGTACGTTAAAATAAACATTATCACCATATTTCAAACGATATCGGAATGTTTGGACGAGTGAATTTTTTCCAGCAGTTACATGCTCTAAATAAAAATGGAAATTATCTGAATATTTTAAAATCATAGGTAATAGAAAAATGTTCTTGGAATCAAATTTAAAAATGAAACTTTGTTAGCTTCTTATTCATTTATATATTTAGTTAAAATATCCAATATCTTTAAGACAAATATTTCAGTTCCTATCTCATAAAGATTTTATGTATTATGGTAAATAACAGTAACTCATGCAATGTTCAGTTCAGTCAAATTTATTTAATAGCTCTTTAGCTGTATAGCAATAGGTATAGCAAAAATATTATGTAACACTTTTTATAGCTTCGGGTTAATAAGATGATTGTTCTTTGAAAATTTAAAGACAACCAATCAATTAATAGTATACTTTTATTCGACCTGGACACCCTGAGATCAAACCTACACTACTTGAAGAAGATACACCATTTTTTTATAAAACCAAATAAAATCTGAATTGGAGTAAACATTATTATGAACAAAGGTGGAAGGCATTTCACGCGTTTTTAATATTTTTGACATTCTCCCTTTTCCGGGAAGGCAAAGGGAACAATGCCCATACAGCCTAATCTTAAGTTTTGTTAATCTTCTTATTTTTACATCAGAATGTCGGTGTGACGCATTCTAATGTTTCTTGGAGTATTTGGCACGAAATATATCGAGTTAGCTTTTTCGATAAGCTTCTGTGAGGTAGCCAACACTCATATAAAGTTCTCACATCCACTTGACCCAAGTAGCGTATTTTTTAAAGATTCCACTAATTCTATAGTTGCAAAGATGGTTATAACACAAAATCACACCAATTCTATTTCACAATATCCACTATAAACGAATTTATGAATAATTAAAATAAGACGCCAACCGCACTCGATGAAATCACTCCAAAAACCCCTCACGCGTTTTTAAATGTTTATAAACTTCTTTTTTAATTTTGTGTACAAGCATTTGAGACAACAATTAAAAACACACACACACACATATATATATATATATATATATATATATATATAAAACTCAAAGGTGACTGACTGACATAGTGATCTATCAACGCACAGCCCAAACCACTGGACGGATCGGGCTGAAATTTGGCAAGCAGGTAGATGTTATGACGTAGGCATCCGCTAAGAAAGTATTTTGATCAATTCTACCCCGCAGCGAAGCGAAGGCGGACCACTAGTTATAAGATAAAAGCTAAAAAAAATAAAGGTTGCACACAGTCAAACCAAAACCTTAAGCAACTTCTCTACAAGTTTCAAGTCGCTGTTGAATTTAATATAAAAAAGGTATATGCGGCTTTATCAAATCAAAGAAGTTGTGGAAACGCCTTGAAAATATATACAACTTTGTTCCGGAACTTTGCAAGCGGTTTTTGAACTTGTCTTATGAAAACTAATAATGTCTTAACTTATTGGCGCCATTTTATAATGTTATATTGCACTCTCCTATTTTATCATGTGAAATTTTTTTAAATGAGCATAATTAATCAGGATCAGAATACAAATTGGTTAAATATTAAACACAATCACGTCGTATATTATAACATTTTCTAAACTTCAATGTATGTTCAAACCAATAAGAAAAGATAGCTCTTAAATCAATTTTCCTTTTTTTATCCAGTATTTAAAAAAACACGAATTGTTTCTTAATAAGTAATAAACGCTGGATTCATTACCCTTTACTAAGACAAACGAAACAGTTGTTAAAGTTAAAGGTTACGTGGAACGGTACATTTAATAATGGGGGATTAAAAGTGGCACTGAACAAAGTTGTTTTTGACGTCATTGCGCACCGTTGTACCCTGACAGCGGACTCGGATGCGCCATAAAGGGGGCAGGGAGGGGCTTTGTTTTAACCATTGGAAAGTTGCTGCAAAGCTTGTGCTCGCGACAGTTCCGTCGCTCATTGTTTTCAGTAATTAAGCGCCTCGTAGTATCATGACACCCACGGATTACGGACGCACTCATGAAATCGGAATCATGGAAATAAACACCAACTTTAAATAGGGTATTTCACGTACCTACTTAGAAAAATAAGAATACAGTTTTATAAATATTTACTTTTCATTCGAATGTCTTTGTCTTCGCATTCATAGATCAAATTATCTTTACAAGATAAAAGAAAACTACTAATGAGAAGCTCGATACCACCAGTGGTAAGCGCGTTTCGTCTACGATCATTGAAGTTGAACAATTTGTATAATGGTTGTACTCAATATGGATGACAATCAAATAATTATTATTTATTGCACCTTCTGTTTACAAGTAAAGCTTTTAGATCCAACTGCATCTGCAGTTATTAGTGCCCGCCAAATCGGCACTGAGCCACTGGAGGACTCTGTCTCAACAGGGAAATTAGTGGGTTGATGACAAGGATTTTAACTAATAACTTTTTTATAAAATTAATCAACTACCACCACTACAGCAACTAAGTCTAAAGGACGAAAATTTTGTATTTCTAAATATTGAGACGTTATATATTTTATATTCGAGGATGTAGGAGGATCCTATCATTAGTTTTGTCAGCCACTGTCTGCCTGATTTTAAGTAAACGTCTTTGCATTAAGGTCTTGATGTCCCCGTATTAATGCCTTCAATTTAATATATCGCTCTTAATTATTTATGCCCTACTAATATCACTTACTATGACACCAATGAGTTTTAAATTGCCAAGTCGATATTGGTTTTTAGTTGAAATTTCTGCTATTTCCAATAACGCAAAATTGTACACCGCGGCTCAGTAGTTTTCCGATACATCATTTAGTCAATTAAAAGACTTAGTCAATTAAAGTAACACAGATTACTTACAGTTTACTCGTTATTTCTATTCTTGTTGATAAATTGATGAAAGGTAGCTATTTAAAGGCTAGAAATATCAAAGTGTGTTTCGCAGAGCTGAAATATGACTTTTCATTCATGGAAACATCTACTTTATCCCGACAACCTTACGTATATATATTTCAATCATTAACTATAATGCCTTCAATAGTTGAAAGTAGTTGCTGAAGTAGAAGAGATCAAATATGGAATGATGGAAAATAAATAATAACTATTAATTAAATAAATATATCTAACACTCACACCAATTAGCCTAGCCCCAAAGTAAGTACTGTAAGGCTTGTGTTATGGGATACTAAGGTAACGGATAGAATACATATACTGATACATATATGCGTATATTTATATATAAATACATAAAAACATCCATGACTTAGGTACAAATGCTAGCATTCATCACACAACATTTGCCCCCACCGGGATTCGAAACATCTGAGTAGCCACACCTTGAAACCCAGCATACAAAACCACTCGGCCACGGAGGTCGTCATTAATCATTCTTAGTAACATTCTTTATTAATATATGTTTTAGCTGGCAAGTATACCAGCTAACTTCATTTACTTAAAAACTGTAACTAGTAATTAATTGAAATCTTGAAAACCTGTTTTCTTTTCAAACTAACTCGTTAGATGGGAGAAAAAAGAAATAATGTGATTTAAATAAAACACCAGCATAGAATTAAATACAAGATCAAAAATAGATAGATATTATAAAAAAATATTTTAATTCATATTGAATTTCAATACAATTGCCTCCAATTTTGTATACATATAAGCTAAATACTCTCAAATAAGAACTTAATTAGGAGCTCAGATTATGCTGAAGATCATTCAATACTAATTTAGGAATTTCCTTTATGGTAAACAGTAATTTTTGATCTTTAACTGTCAATTTTAAAATATATTTTATTTAAGGATTAATTATAAAACAATAGATACTGAGTGTTGATCATTCTGCATAATATTTATATTTGGATTTCAGTGATTCAGCCTCATATGTAAGCATCTAAAAATATATGTTTTGTGGCAGCAACTAATTCTCACTACTGGTTTTGTTCATAACCATTCGCCTCAGCTGTTATTTACAACAAACGAAATTAAAACCAGTGTAAAATCATTCACGTTCCGTAAAACAATGCTTCCATAAACTTTTGATTTCACTAAATGCATCGTTTTATTCGTAGCTTACCTCCAGCCATTTAAGCCACTTTCTCTAACGCTTCCCTGTTCGCTTTAGAATTGTTTGATAATTATGAACCTAACCACTCTGAAATTCCGTGCTATTATCTCTATTTTAGTAAAACTGAGCTAACTAAGGCTCATTAGTACCAAAGTTCAGAAAGTGAATTACAATCCAAACCATTTTAAAACATATTTTTTTTCTAATGATTTTAAGCAAACAAAGATAGAGTGATTTTTGGTGGTTTTAAGTTTCAAATTGTATATAACCATGAAGAGTAACAGATTATTGTGTCAATCTTATTCTCAGACAATGTACCTAATGTTAAAGTTAACTTTATCAGAAAAAGTTAGTTGAGCATTAAACACAAGTAACAATACATATACAAAAACTTTGCGTAAATATAAGATTAATAAAAATCTTACTTTTTGTGGTATAGCCTTATGTTTTGTTATTCCTAAAATTAGTAGTTAGAGGACACCATGTTTTTCGTAATATTATGGCGTTTTAAACAATGGTAATTACAACGCTGAATTAGCTTAACTTTGTAGCAATAACATTTTAAAAAATAGTTAGGTACCATTTAGATACTGGTACTAAACATTATTGTCAATCTTATACAACGAGTATTAAAAAAATAAAATAAAAGAGCAATTTGCATTATATACACTATAGATGCACTTAGACTAAGGAAAGGTGAGAAATCACGAACACAGCAATAACTAAATACTGCATATGTCGATAATATAAATTAGTGGTATTTTAAAAGAAATAAAGTTGTAGTACATAAAATGTATTTTTATTCACTTCCCTTTTAAGTTTACACTTTGAAATGTTTCTCTTAATAGGTAAAGGAACGAAGTGCATCCATACAACTACTTAGAGGAAGAAACCGATGGAAACTTTGCTAGTCCGCTTTTTGATTGCCCGGAGATAAGGCAAGCAAAATAAACAAAGCTTACCAAGCTCTGCTGCTGTATTTTTTTATTATTCCGCTTAAGAAATTGAAATAATATTTTCTCAAAATCAGAAAAAGTTATTGCTACCACCACGACTCATTTTAGGCACTGTGCATTTCCTATAGCGGTGAAAACTAACGCACCGTATTCCCACGTTGCACAGTTCCGCGGAGGACATGTGGGGTTGTTTCCCACTGGTTGATCGCGGGAGGTGGGTCATCCTAAGTATCGGTCTAAGTTGTCGGCGGGTAAACTTTGGAGCGTGGTGCGCCCACCCCATCGATCGAAGAGGCAGCGCGCGCACCCGGCACCCCATATATACGGCGGGCAGCCCTCCCGCCACTCACAACCGCAAGAGACCGCGTGCGATTCGGCTGCCGCTCGTCCGGGGCGCTCTTTCTACTCTTCTTTCTCTGTTCGTCTGTCTTTCATGCCGCGCCGGGGCTGATGCAGGCGCCGCCATGCCGCGCTGCCTCATGGCCAAGAAATGGAAGGCGGGCCCAACGGCGGAGCTGGCCGATGAGTCGGACGAGGAGATCGACGTGGTCGGCGAGGGGCGCGGCCGCAGCCCCGCGCCCGCCGCCACCGCGCCGGGCCCACAGCCCCGCGATCCTGAGCCCACGCTCCTCTACAACGGTGAGTGCCCGACTGCCGACCGACGCGACCTTCATACGCACTGAACCCCCATCCCGTTAAACAAACCATACTTCCATCAAAACACAAACATCAATCCCATACCGATTTCCCTCTCACCAGTCGCCGAATTAGTTTGTAAGCATTAGTCAATAGTTTTCCGTTACAAGCTTAGCGAGTGCCCAGTTATTTGCGAATTCAATTACATTATGCTATGCGCGTGCGAGTTTTTTTTTATTTTCATTAAATCATACGACTTTACTTATTTAAAAAAGAAGTATTTTGAAAATTCGTCTCTGGCTTATAAAATCAAATCAGTGCTAAGACCTAACAAAAATACTCGTTCCGAAACCAAGTCTTTTCGCCCTAAACTCCAATCAAAACAACTATAAACAAATTTGAAGATTTTGCAACTCGTTCGGTACAACAGTAGTCCCACAAAATGTTTAATCCTACTTCAAACCCTAGCAACGAAGGCGAATTAAATAGAAACTACAATAAACAGCATCTGAACTTCTATTAGCATAATATTCAAACATTGCTTAATGGAAGTTGATATTCTGCGATCCATTTGTAACATCAATCGTATACCAATATACATCATACACAACCTTACCTTATTGCCTTCCTCATGATTCCTTATCCCATATAATTGATAAAATCCTAATACTTTTTTTATTCGATATAAATTGAAAAAAACTTTGTTAATATCTTGTTAACTATTATTATTACTAAATTAACTACATTGACCTGGGAGCCTAAAATACAGCTTAATGAATTCATACATTATTTAAATCATCCGCATAGGTAGCTAGGAAGGTTAGATAAATGGCCAGCTGCCAAGAATATAGTACCACTCTGAAATATCTTACGTGGTCGTGAGTTGGAAAACTGAATAAACTAGAACATATCAAGACCTTCATAATTGTTAACAGATTTATAATTTGAAACACTAAAGGTTTCGATGACTTATTGACATTGTTGATATTATAAATTTTAAAAGTTTGTTTTTTCTTAAAATTTATTGCGCTGAAAGCCTAAACCCAACGAAAGAAGCGCCTGTTAACTGAGTTAATGACTGATCTCAAAATGTGATGACACTTCGATATTTATATGTGCAAAAAATGAGACAATTTCAATACCCGAAGCAAAAATCAAAGTATTCAATTGGTTAAGGTTACTTAATCATTACACATGTATTTATAAATAACTTCATAGATTTTAAATCACTTTATTTTTTAAAAAAAAGAAGATAAAAAGTAACAGATTTTTCACTATGCATTAATAAGGAGTAATAAAATTCTCATTGACCAGAGGTTTTATTTGCAACGCCAAAGTTCAAAACGCTTAGCTTTTGTAGAACGTAACTAAACCAAAAACGCAATTAAATGAAAATTGTGTACGAATATCAAATTGCATGTCCAACTCATTCCATTTTATGATGATAATGAAACAAAAGGGGATTGAACAAATGAACAACGAACTTGTTATCGTCATACGTCAATAGGTGGAGCGGAGCAACAGAGCCCGTGCCGTGGCCCAGAAAGAAATAAACACCACACGCGAGATGAGAAAACGCGCCAAGATCGTTTGTTGGTTATAGCTCAGAATTGAGTACATACCTATAGCTGCATCACCCCCTTTATCGGATAAACAAACAAAAGTTGCTTTGAAATACCAAAATTGGTTTTACTTTTGTAAAATGAAGCGTGTGAATTTATAAAGTGAATTAAGAACGCTTTGTTCAAAGACCAATTTTAAATTATAAAGCGTTTTTCCGTTTGATGTAGTAAAAGTGAAATAAACTGTTTAGTGAAGTTGTTATCATATTTTTTTAAAGGACCATGGGGAATTTTGTGTGGACCCCGTCCCGGAATGAACAGACACGGAATGCGTGTCATTCGTACTCAAAAAAAGACAAAACACTTGTTTTACTTGAGAAATCGACGGGGTTTAGTTATAATAGTAAAAAAACTTTTCGGCAAACATGTGTTTATTTTCATATAAAAACCATATTTTTCTGAAAAGATATGGTCTCGAACTGAAAAATTATTGACTTACGAATGCAATATTTTACTAAATGTTTAATTTTTTACGGACTTTAAAAAGGAGGAGGTCCTCAATTCGTTTTTAATATCATTTTTATTTTTATTCACGCATCTCGGAGATATGCGTTCCGATTTTGATGATTCTTATTTTGTTTGAATCAGTTTTTTGGCGAAATTCTATCGTATTAGTTTGGTGAGGATCAGTACTTTTGGAAAAATAATGGAACTCCTCAATTACAAACAGTACTCAATTCGAAATTGGTTATTTCAAGAGATGTGAAAGAGATAATGTAGGCTAGGTACCAAGGAGTTGGTTAGTTGATCTTACTTTGGCTTATAAAAATTGTAAAATAAAAGCTTTTTTACAAATAAACTAACCCAACTTCATTAAAACAAAACAACTTAAAAAAAAAGAAATAGGTAACATACTTTTTACCTATAATTTCATTTAAAGTCAAATTGACCTTTGATCGGTGTCATGATAGATCTGAGTTGCCATTTACTGCTTGGGGCTTTGGATTTTTCAGGTTCTATCTAATCCATTTTACATAAAGTCATCAATTACAAAATAATCAAGCATTTGTGCTGGTGCATTGAAACCAGTATGTCTCCGTAACCCCTTATACCATACGATGGATATAATGTGTACACATCTTTCCACAGTACGATTTCCTGTAAGGCAAATGCAGTATCAATGCGCCTATTTATTATTATAAAGCTGAAGAGTTAGTTTGGTTGAACGCACTAATCTCAGGAACTACTGATGTGATTTGAATATTTCTTTTTGTGTTTGATAGTGCATTTATCAAGGAAGGTTATAAATTATATAACATAAAGATACAACAAAAAGGAGAGGAGCACCATTTGAGAGTTTCCGTTGCGTGCGCTGCGTAAACGATAAAAGTAACATATAAACATTTATGTTCTCCTTTTAAAGTTCTATAAAGAAATCTGCAACAGTATACTGTTGTGTATAAGGGGTTAGGGAGACATACTGGTTTCAACACACCAGCACAATATATGACGCGTATGAGGATGACGTTAAACGAGCAATCATTAAAATAAAAGTGGATAGTTCTTCCGGACCTGATTCTGTTCCACCCTTTTTTCTTAAAATGTTTAAGGATTATTTGATTCCCCCTTTATGCCATATTATAAATACAGCAATCCATACAGGTGAGTACCCCGCTCAGTGGAAAATATCACGGGTGACGCCTATCCCAAAGTCAACCACCAAGTCTACTGTCGAGGATTATCGTCCTATAGCGGTGTTACCTGCTCCTGCAAAATTATTCGAACGTATTATTCACAACGAAATATATAACCAAATCAACCTATACCTTTGCAACGAACAACATGGTTTTAGAAAAGGAAAGTCGGTCGATTCCAATTTGTTAACCATAGTAGATTACATCACAAAAAGTATGGACAATGGATCTGAAGTCGACGTTGTATATTTTGATTATCAAAAAGCTTTTGATCGGGTTGATAACGATATTCTCTTGAGAAAACTTAAAAGTATTGGTTTTGCTCCGCGGCTCCTTCATTTAATTTCAAATTACCTTCGAGAACGCCAACAATTTGTAAAATATGGGTGCTACACGTCTAGGCCTTACCATACACGTTCTGGAGTCAATCAGGGTTCAATACTAGGTCCGCTTCTATCCTTGATCATAATGAATGATCTCCCCACAGTCATTAAGAATGCAAAATGTGTTATGTACGCCGACGACTTAAAGTTGGCATTGGAAATAAAAGCTGAGTCAGACTGTTAACTACTACAAAATGATATAAACTCAGTATCTGAATGGAGTAGGGTAAACAAAATGCTTTTTAATGTAGGAAAATGTTGCGTCATGACCTTCGGAAGAAAGATGACAAAAACGCGTCATCAATATACACTGAATGATCAAAATATTATGGAATCAACCAAGGATCTAGGAGTAATATTTGATACCAAACTTACGTTTCACGATCATATAATATTTCTGGTAAAAGAATCTTTTAGACGTCTCGGTTTTGTTCTTCGAAATTGTCGCGATTTTAAGAACCCGCAATTAATTAAAATTCTTTACTATGCACTTGTTCGCAGTAAACTTGAAGCCGAGAGTTGCGTGTGGCACCCCGACGAAAGCACATATACCCTATTGCTTGAGAAAGTTCAGAAGGCATTTCTAAGATATCTTTATAAACGCATTTATACTTTTTACCCATACCTTTACCCAACTGTATTTCTCTTAGGCACTCTTGGCTTAAATTCTCTTAGAGCGCGTAGGACAAGGAACCATCTATCGATTGGCATCAAAATAATCCTCCATGAATGCTCCAGATCTAAACAATGAACTTAGTCGGTTGTACGTTCCTGACCGATATACGCGGCACCGACTTAACCATCCGCGTCATCTCTTCGCACCACCGTTTGCCCGCACTGTTACCCGCGCTCAATTTCTTCTTTGTCGCATTATGACTGAACTTAATGCGCTCCTGGCTGATAAGCCTGCGTGTGATGTGTATGCAGATGGATGGAATAAAATAATGTATGACTGCCTATTGTATTGCGAGAAAAATGAGTGTGAATCCTCATGTTTGTAATTCTTTGTTTTCTTGTTTTTTTTTACTAATTGCTGTAAATGGTATTTTGCCGTAGTAATTAGAATAAATAAATAAAATAAAAATAATAAAAAAAATATCTTTTAAGAGTGTCCCACTATAACCTATTTTCTCAACTTTTCTCTCGTCAAACCGCAGGGCACTTCTAGCATTTATAAAACCTAAACCCCATATATTTTGAGTGTAACTCCATATATATATCTTTATATATATAATTCTTCTGTGAGTGTGTATGTCACTGAACTTCTCTTAAACGACTGGACCGATTTTGATGAAATTTTTTGTGAGTGTTCAAGGGGATCTGAGAATGGTTTAGATTCACAATTTTGTCCGCTGGACAATGTT